GGATTCGGGTTATGCGTTTGGACACAACAACCGAAAATCGTTGTACTTAACTAAACCGGACCCAAGTTTCTCGATAAGGGGCAACAAATATTCTTTTTTGCTCGCTATATAAAACAGTGGATAAAAATATACGTATATGCGAAAGGCAAATTTATCTGTTTAAATGAACACCACCAATATTTCTTGCAAACACACATCGATTTACATCTTTTATTTCGCCTCCGACACAGAATTGTTTTCGTACAAAATTACGCAATTTAGGCATGCCATTGTTACGAATTTCGAAAATTCGAAAATACGATTCGGGTTGCAGCATACTATTTCTACGATTCGTAGCGAAATCCGAATACGAAAGAGTTGCTGAATAGGGGTGATCATTTAGGATGTCAACGCTTTTTTAGAAGTTCAGCAGTGCTTGAAGCCCAAGTGTTGTCGAATTTTGACAATATTTGGGAACTGTTACCAAGGATTGGGAACTATTACCAAGGGTTGGTAATTATAACTAAATATATTAAAGCTCTAGTATTCATCTAGGTTGTACCAAATCGTTAATTTAGTTGAAGGGTTTGGTAAATACTAATAAATATTTTTTTGGGGCATATTTCTACAAATTCCATTCAACTTAACGTATGGTTCATAAAAGGATGTAATTAAGCTCTGCTAATACAGATAAGCTTTCTTTCAACACATGGTTTAGTCATAGTTAGCAAATCTTAGGTGAGGCAACCACGATTTGGTTTGAGAGCGGAACATGTTCATGCTTGTGAGCACCAGCTGAGCAATGCACACACTCCCATTTATTGAATCGTTTGAATGCGCTAGTATGCCGACCATTGCATAAAAACGATTCAATGAATGAGACTGTGTGCGCGGAAATCATTACTTCGCTACCGCTGTTCGTATATGGGCGAAACACACGTGTGGTCACAGAGCACTCAGTAAGCTTTGGCATGTCGATCACTGCGCTATTTAGAGAAAGAAAAGTGTGTGCTATGGCATGCCCAGACTTGTTTGTCTCAGTTTCAGTTTTGCCATCGCCGCAAGATGTTTCTGTGTGCGCATAGTTATTTAAAAATATAAAGTTTGATGCCAACCGGGGTTTCTCAGTGGATATATAATTCATGTGAATTATAATTTGAAAGTATCTGTTTAGCCAAGGAAAAATCAAAGCAGTATACTTAAACCAGCACTTCCAGCAGATATTGACCTATGTTTTCGCACGACTGTTCCTGTTTCATCGTTTCTTTTTAGGAAATTCTTATCACCATATACATATGTATTATTTACACTAGTAACTATTTATGAAAATATGTATGTATTTTTATGCTTAATATATGCAAATAAAAGAAGAAAGTAAACACAACAACCATCGAGTAAGTTTTTATTTGTGTCAAACTGAAACTTTTTTTCCAATAATAAACAGTTAGCTGATTCAAGGCTACAGCAAGTTCACAAAATTAATTGAAAACTTGTATCAACCAAAGCATTGTTTATATTTGCTCAACAATGATTTTATTCAACTAACAATATTGTCCACTCAAGGTAGTCGTTTTGTAATTAAACAAATATACATTTGTCCCAACTAGAAGTCTCACGTAAATTGCAGACTTTCATGAACTAGATATTTATTTCGCCATATCCAACTACGCCACCTGGTAACTATAACCAAATATTGGTTATTATAACTAAACCTTTTTCTGAGTGTAGCTGGGCGACACGACGCAGGAGCGGCAGCAGCGATGCCCAATGTTGACTTCGCGCCGACTGCATTAGTGAGACCAGCACTGAGAGGGGCAGCGGACGACGACGCTGCCTGGGCAGCAGAAAGCGAACTCGGAGCAGCAGACACACATGGATTCACAGCAGGCAAAAGAGCATACGTGTTAGACGACAATGCACTTTTAGCCGAACAATNCTCCCATTTATTGAATCGTTTGAATGCGCTAGTATGCCGACCATTGCATAAAAACGATTCAATGAATGAGACTGTGTGCGCGGAAATCATTACTTCGCTACCGCTGTTCGTATATGGGCGAAACACACGTGTGGTCACAGAGCACTCAGTAAGCTTTGGCATGTCGATCACTGCGCTATTTAGAGAAAGAAAAGTGTGTGCTATGGCATGCCCAGACTTGTTTGTCTCAGTTTCAGTTTTGCCATCGCCGCAAGATGTTTCTGTGTGCGCATAGTTATTTAAAAATATAAAGTTTGATGCCAACCGGGGTTTCTCAGTGGATATATAATTCATGTGAATTATAATTTGAAAGTATCTGTTTAGCCAAGGAAAAATCAAAGCAGTATACTTAAACCAGCACTTCCAGCAGATATTGACCTATGTTTTCGCACGACTGTTCCTGTTTCATCGTTTCTTTTTAGGAAATTCTTATCACCATATACATATGTATTATTTACACTAGTAACTATTTATGAAAATATGTATGTATTTTTATGCTTAATATATGCAAATAAAAGAAGAAAGTAAACACAACAACCATCGAGTAAGTTTTTATTTGTGTCAAACTGAAACTTTTTTTCCAATAATAAACAGTTAGCTGATTCAAGGCTACAGCAAGTTCACAAAATTAATTGAAAACTTGTATCAACCAAAGCATTGTTTATATTTGCTCAACAATGATTTTATTCAACTAACAATATTGTCCACTCAAGGTAGTCGTTTTGTAATTCAACAAATATACATTTGTCCCAACTAGAAGTCTCACGTAAATTGCAGACTTTCATGAACTAGATATTTATTTCGCCATATCCAACTATGCCACTTGATCACTATAACCAAATCTTGGTTATTATAACTAAACCTTTTTCTGAGTGTAGCTGGGCGAGACGACGCAGGAGCGGCAGCAGCGATGCCCAATGTTGACTTCGCGCCGACTGCATTAGTGAGACCAGCACTGAGAGGGGCAGCGGACGACGACGCTGCCTGGGCAGCAGAAAGCGAACTCGGAGCAGCAGACACACATGGATTCACAGCAGGCAAAAGAGCATACGTGTTAGACGACAATGCACTTTTAGCCGAACAATAATTCGTTTCATTACTCTCACTTACACCGTTGGCGCGAGATGGGTTGAGAGCATATGTGTTAGATGACAATTCACTTTTAGCCGAACAATTATTCGCTTCATTACTCTCCCTTACACCGTTGGCGCGAGATGGGTTGAGAGCATATGTGTTAGATGACAATTCACTTTTAGCCGAACAATTATTCGCTTCATTACTCTCCCTTACACCGTTGGCGCGAGATGGGTTGAGAGCATATGTGTTAGATGACAATTCACTTTTAGCCGAACAATTATTCGCTTCATTACTCTCCCTTACACCGTTGGCGCGAGATGGGTTGAGAGCATATGTGTTAGATGACAATTCACTTTTAGCCGAACAATTATTCGCTTCATTACTCTCCCTTACACCGTTGGCGCGAGATGGGTTGAGAGCATATGTGTTAGATGACAATTCACTTTTAGCCGAACAATTATTCGCTTCATTACTCTCCCTTACACCGTTGGCGCGAGATGGGTTGAGAGCATATGTGTTAGATGACAATTCACTTTTAGCCGAACAATTATTCGCTTCATTACTCTCCCTTACACCGTTGGCGTGAGATGGGTTGAGATCTCAGTATATCCAGTAAAGAAACTCAGCTATTTTTTTTTCACCAAATTTGGTCCCCATAAAGGACTAGTGTTGCAAGCAACGCTTTTTCGGCAATAAGGGTGTTGTGCAGCAATTCAATGTGGTGAAAATTATTTTAGCACTAGAGAAATGGTAGAAAAACATTTCATTGCGCTTGAACATCTCAGGTTTAACCGAAATATAAATGTATTTAGAATATTTATTTTATTAATACATACCCATTTTTTATTTTACTGTATCGAAGTCGTTGCTCAAATATTTGGAATTTAGTATTTAAGTTAACTGTGAAATATATTGAATGCACAAATCAAATTATGGGAGCGAGTTATTCGCTTGGAATTGGAAACAGGGCTGATGATATACTTTGAATAAATTGTGAATTTGCGAAAATATCTTTTCAGCATATGAATATACTTCTTAACTTTTTGCCGAAAATACATACAGGCTCGAAATGATGCCAGTAACTTTCAAATATTGTCTTGGATGGAAAATTTCTGTGAGCATCATTTTGACAGTTTTTAGTTAAAGATGTAGTTATATATTTTAAATTAAGATATTTTGATTTTTTGTGTAACAGTTTTTTTGATGTCTTCTTTAGTTTCAGAGTAATTGACTAAAATGTTTTCGGTAATTTGGTACAAATTACGTTAGTAATGCTGTCGTACTAAACTAATCAAGCTCTTTCAAGTAGCGTTATCTGTTTTTAAATATTTGCTTAATTTCCATCTCTCTAACGCACTAATTCTATATACGTCCGGACCAACGCCCGACGCCGTTATGTCTGTATTTAATAACGGCTCTATGACAAAATATTCAAGAAATGTATTCGTAGATTTTTATTTACTTCATTTCATACATTAATATTGATCTAACTTTTTTTAATAAGTACCAGGAATAAATATTTAACAAAAAACTATTTCACTTAAGCTTAACCAACTTTTAGTTGCTCGGAGCTAATTTTGGAACGCTCAATAAAATATTTTCATAGACGGTAAATGCAGCCCGGGTGCATCATTGATGAGCTGAAAAACCAAAAAAAAATAATTAAGTTTGTGGATTGGAGCCTTTTGAAATGGCCTTTAGAAACGGCAATGAACACTATTCAAGGAATTGTGAATATAAGCTGCCTTCTATTTGGCATATTTGCGGTTTAAACCTTCAGGAAGTTACAAAAAAAAAAACATTTTCTATTTTAATTTATTATATATTTTTGAAATAAAAATACTCCACCTTGGAGGCTTTCTTGAAGTGGGATCCAACAGTTTGCGTTCGATCACAAAGATGTCAGAGATTGGGACACGTTGATGGTTGTGCTTGACAATTCCACGTTTGTAGATCAATTCACGAACTGATTTAAGATTTGGATAGCCCCATGTGATATAGGGTTCGGCAATGCGTAGCATATTAATGGCTAAATTTGATGAACAAACCGTGGTGAATGTGGCGAAAACGGAACAGTAGTAAAACTTTACGCATTTTTGGTGCAACTTTGTTGATACCGCGGATACAGATCACAAAAGCCAATTTGTCTTCCGCAGGCACGTAGAATGAGCCGCGTTTCTTTGCCAGACGGCGCAACTTATTCTCACGGCGTCCGTCACGGAGATATTTTGCTTGATATTTCTCAGACGCACCAAGTTTTCACGTTGGCGGAGTGCAATCACAGCAGAGCGCTTTAGTTTACGCTTGATCAGGGTAGCACGTTAGCTGACCTGCTTCTTGCTGAACTTCAGCTACGACTCGGGGACAGCGGGCAGCTTCCTGGAAGGTTGTTTGCCCTTTTCTTCGGGCTTCTTACCGGCCGTGGTGGCAGTCATTTAACTTGTAACTTAGCACGTTGAGAAGGCGAAAAAAAATTCGTCAAAAGTTTGGAGCACATCTTAAATAACGCCACTCGATTTATAACATTTCTATTAAACACAATTTCATTTAGTTAAATACTTTTTTAATACATAGATATGCTGCAACCAGGCAGTTACTTTCCCAAATTCCATCTTGCTTATCGGCACAAACAATAGAAATCGCAAAAATTGGCAAATAAAATACTCCCTTCACTTTGTTTTGTTGTCAAATTTCTGAGAAATGTGAATTCACCACGATGCAATACAGAAAGAACAAGGACCAGGGATGTAATTTTAAGTAAAACTATTATTCAGTGGCAATGCGCAGAGCGTTCCGAGTAGCAAAATTAATTTGTATCAAATATAACTTTAAACGGTGGTTATAATACATTTTTTAATATTATTAATCAGAGTATATTAATATATGTATGTATGGTACTTCTTTCAAAAATTAAGGCTTTATATGCATATTTTTTTTAATATTTCTTAAGTTTCTTTAATTAGTTCTGAAAAGCAACCATGCGTATATGAAATTGTGTGCTACCTAAAATTTCACCTCTGGAAACTATATCCCCATAAAGGACTTCAACACAGTTTTTTACTGGGTATACTGAGGTTGAGATTCTTAGATTTGATTTCCAATGTTAGCGTTGAAATGTCAGCGTCTTTGCAATTTAGTTTCGCTTGCATTGAGCGGGCATCAGATTTTTGCATTAATTGCATTTTGTCTTCATGCAAAGAGTTAATTAGAGATATAACTCGCGCATTCTCTGCTCTAAGAGCGGCGATTTCTTGCACAACCGTATTCAATGCTAATTGTAGCATATTATTGTTCTCATTCGGGTTAGAGTTCGATTTTCTAGGCTGTATTTTTACGGAGCCTACTCGACACCGGGCCTTCTCTCGGACCTTCCGGGGGAGGAGGTTTACTCCCCCAAATCCCAAATCGACGAGGACGCTCTGCTTCGCTCCAGCCAGGAGACGGTGGCGGAGTCGGTCTCAGGCAGTACCAGCCATAGTACTCCCAACCACAGCCCCTCGCGAACCCACAAAACCAGTGCGAGCCAACGCGCTGGGGGATCGACAGCGGGGAACTTTGATGCACCATCATCATCGGCAACTGCGAGTCAACGCAAGAATGCAGGTCGCGTACCTGAGGCCTCATGCTCCTCTCTGGCGAGTCGTCAGATGAACATGCGCCCATCAGGAAAGGCGACTCCTATATCTTCCAAATCGACACCTTCCGCCTCCAGTACCTCGAGACCGCTGGCATCGGGGACCAAGTCTGCACTACCGACAGCGGTAAATGCCAAGACCTACAGGAAGGTTAAATTCATCCTGAAAAAGATTGCTCAGAACCAGGAGGAGGGCATCCTGAACGTGCGCGACACTGACGACCGGAAAAAATACGAGGCGATCGTTGCCGCCTTTGATAGTAGCAAAGCGGCAAAGTCCCGCGTGGAGGCGGGCAAGACGAACAAACGCAACCGATCGCGAGACGACACCTCTAACGCTCCGAAGAGAAATAAAGATGCGAGTGGCGTATCCCAACCCGTAGCGCAAGGCCCGCTGAAGTACAGCGATATAGTGAAGGACCACCTGAGTGTCGCACTTATAGACGAGTCGCCTAAGTGCGGCAAACCAGTCCTCGAAAAATGGCCTGAGATCGAGGTCCGGCTTTCGGGTTTGGCGATGGAAAGTACCCTAGCCAACCCCGAGGGCCCGATACCGCGGTTCGATTCTGAGGAGGTCATCAGAGGTCATAGGGTGATCCGATGCGAGGACGAGTTCTCCAAGGAATTCCTGCGCAGGAGCATCACTGAGATCAGCGATGCTTGGTTGGGCTATAAGCCCAAACTTATCCCGGCGAAGGACATTCCGACGAGACCCCGTGCCCGAATCTGGTTGCCCAACATGAGGATGGATAGGGCTATACTTCTACAATACATCGCCATTATGAACCCCCGTGTCCCTATGACTAACTGGAGCGTCCTGAAATTCGAGGACGTAAAAGCAGTTAGCCAACCCGTGCTGTTCCTCATCGCTGAGGAATCAGCAAAGGTCCTAGAGGAGCTAGGATGCAGAATCCACTTCGGCGTGAGACACGCCAAAGTGAAAACCTTCCGGGGCAGAGAACCCGACGACGACAACGAAGGCGAAGAACCGCCCCCGGAGTCAATAAAGGACGGGGAACCGTCACCAGATCCTATTCGCAGCGAGTTTACGGTGCAGATTGAGGTGGCCGAGGAAGCCAGTAATCTGGTCGGCCCGAACACTACCAACAGGGGCACCGAAATTGCGCATATGGAAACTGTGCATTTAGACATTATTTCGGTTTCAACCGAAACTGTGCATGTATGCTTTATTTCGGTTTTTACCATATGCATTATTTCGGTTTTAAACCGAAACTGTGCATGTATGCATTACTTCGTTTTTTTTCATATGCATTATTTCGCTTTTAAAACGAAAGTATGCATATGCATAATTTCGGTATTTTCTCATATGCATTATTTCGGTTTTCAACCGAAACTGTGCATGTATGCATTACTTCGGGTTTTTCATATGCATTATTTCGGTTTTCAACCGAAACTGTGCATATATGCATTATTTCGGTTTTTTTCATATGCATTATTTCGTATGCACAGTTTCCATATGCACAATTTCAGGGTGCCTACCAACATCTAATAAAAATGAGCAACGTCGTACAGATTAACCTGAAGCATTCTAGGTGCGCTTCAGATAACCTGAGAGTCTTGCTAGGGGAGAACGACTACGGTCTTGCTATCATCCAAGAGCCCTGGATTCGAGACTCGACCGTCATGGGCCTAAACATCCCCGGGTACGAAGTTTTTTATGCCCGCACTAATGGTAAGCCCAGAGCCTGCGTCCTGCCAAAAAAAGAATATAAAGCGTTTCTTTGTCCCTCTTACAGCACCGAGGACTTGGCAGTTGTAAGACTGTCGCAGCACGGAAGGCCTACGTATGTTGCGTCCGCCTACTTCGCACACGGCAGAGAGACCCCTCCAGCGGAGGTAGAGGAACTGGTAGCAGCGACACAGCAACAAGCTTCGCTTGTGATTGGATGCGACGCCAACGCAAGACATTGCCTATGTGGAAGCGGTGAAACGAACGAAAGGGGTGAGTCACTCTTTGATTTTATCATTAGCACTAAGCTATCTATATGCAATAGTGGGACGACTCCCACTTTCACCTTTCCGAATATGGAAAACTACGAAGGGTGGGAGGAAGTCCTAGATATAACATTGTTACTAGAAAACAATAATTTTTGTGTTGACAACTGGGAAGTGTCTGATGAGAGCTCTTTTTCTGACCATAAGTATATCACTTTCAGTGTCAATATTATTAAAAAAATAATCAAAT